CTCTCTCTCTCTCTCTCTCTCTCTCCAAAAAAAGAACAAAGGAACATAGGCCCTTAGGAATGCATTCCCCGCATCCCCGCGGTAGACGATGAATGAAAAGCAGAGTAATCACGCCACCGGCGCCCCTGGATTGGTCGGCTGCCGGCCATCTGACCGTTCCACTCGTCGGCACCTACTGGTCAGCACCCCAGAATCTTTTATTATTGTTTTTGCGGGGTCCATAACCGACAAATAACACCCCCCCAACACACACACCCATACACCTCCCCAACACCCGCATACCGCACCCCAACACCCTCATACACCCCCCATAACCCCCTATACCCCCTCCCCTAACAAAATAACTTCAAAATTCAAGTAACTTCGAAGTTCCAACTTCACAGTTTCAGGTTTACACTTTAAACTTTAAAAAAAGACCTAGCTCCAAAATTTCTAATAACATAGTATTTTATGTATTTCTATTTTTTTTATCTTCGTTTATTAAACTTTATTTACTTATTCATCTTTTCGATGTTCTTCAACAAACCTTCAAGGCCACCACTTCGCCAGTCTCTCTATCTGTCGCCTTGCAGACATCCCCATACGAGCCTGAACCAACCTGCTCATGCAGAATGTACGATTTCCCAACTGGAAACAAACAACGGAAAGAACGAAAACAGTTTTAAATTTTAATGCATAGCATAAATTGGGTAACACAGCGCATCCAAGCAGCCAAAACACAGATGCAACATGAGCGGCATGAGGGAAAGTAGACGACAAGCAAAGTCTACTTATTCTAGAGACAAACAGAAAGAAAAACAAAGAGTAGGTACAGGAGGAGGGAAGACGGTGGACAAAGAAGAAGTCCAGATGAGGAACAATCTCAAAGGGGACACATCTAAATGAAAACTTAGATCCCAAACAAAAGCGCAATCGTTTTTCAATCAAAACTCTAAATTAGAATGCACTACTAAGGTGCCCGAGCAGGGCTAGCTCAGTTGGTTGAGCACGTAAGTGGCACTCAGGAGGTCGTAGGTTCGGTATCCAACATCGTCCTTTCCATCCCCGCGGCCTCCTGGGGGTATGCTTCGGGTTCACCAGCGGAGACTGTTCACTTGGGCCTCCTGACTGGTTCTTGTGGAAGTAATCGATTCTTTGCAGCTCACGCCGGGTGCTAGGAGCTTGGGTACTGCTCCCCGCACAGAGCAGAGATAGGTAGGCGTAGACCCATAACCTTAGGATAGCTTAGTCCTGGCTGATGAATTCAAGCTTCGCCTCAACCTCCATCGGTAGGTGGTGTCTCTAAGCCGTTGTCAGCTTAGTAGGGCTTCCGGGTGAGGTATAGATACAGGTAGCTAGAGCGAGATAAAGAGAGAACAAAATAGAGTAGATAAAAAAACATCTGTTCCCCATATGCGGAGAAGACAGCTGTATTTTTATTTCTATTTTTTCAATATATCATTTTAAAAAAAAGAGAAAAAACAAAAAAGAAGCACTACTAAGGGCACACTCACACTGGTACAAAATCGAACATTCGCAAACTTTTGAGCTCTTTGGAACCAAGAAATTGTGATTCTGGCAGTCACATGAACTCCCCTACCTTCTTCCCCCGAATACAACGTACGTCGTACGGTCATTATAGCTGTATTTCAGGCTTCTTTCAGTCTAGATACAGGTATAATGACCGTACGTTGTATTCGGGGGAAGAAGGTCGTCCCCTGACGACAAAGTCGCAGCCGTTGGGAATAGGGGCCCTTTCTTGAGAAGCGCTAATACTGGAGATCATGGCAAATTTGTGGACTTCTTTTTTTTTCCCATAGTTCAAAACGTGAGGTTGTTGCACAAACCCATGGTTTTGCAGCAGCCAGTTGCACCAAAAATGTACATACTCTGTCACACAGTAAAAGTTATGTGTTTGTGCCTGTTATGTTAAAAACTATTTGTTTGTTTGTCCCTTTTTGTTTTCAAAAATTGGCCTTGGGGATATTTATGTAATTTCTGCTACCGGGACATGTTAGTATGTATCATACATGCAGTGCACTGCGTGTGCAGACATGTCACACATACGGCACATGGCACACACGTATCCATGCGTATGCACAAAGTGCGGCACACCCCAGAAAATGGGAGTCATGGAAAAATTTAGATAGGGGCAGGGTGTGGTGGCGCACCGCGCCCCTCCTCCAGGAGACATAGGACAGGACAAAAACAAAAAAAAAAAAGAACATTCGAGGACACACTCGACAGCGGCGCAAGTAGATCCAAAATCAAAATACCTTTACCTCTATTGCACACAATGAAGCACCTGAGATGAGACAATCCAACAATGAAACAGTTTTTTACCTCTAAAGCAAGCAACATGGAGCACGGTAGATCGATCCATTATATCCCTTTCTTAAGTATCGTTACTTTAGTCCTTCGGGACATCCCGTAAAACTGGAATGATACAGAGAAGATTAATCAGCATGGCCCCTGTGCAAGGATGACACGCATAGATTGAGAAATGGTCTAAGTTATATTTAAAAAAAAAAAAACTATCGTTACTTTAGTTTTCTTTGGGGGATACCATTTCTTTGTTCTTGCAGCTCCCGTTTGACTATGCCTCTCACGTGCAAGGCTGGCCACCCTGATGGTCTGTCTATGCCCATCAGGTCTTCTTCCTCCCTTGAATAGCATCTAATTAACCAACAGGTTCAGTGTCGGTTCAATGCCACTTCCAGCGTCTCTTCAAGGGAAGCAAATCAGGATGATGAGCGGTCGGCACAGACCTATCGGCGGGGGTCGGCCTGCCGCATTTTTTGCGCGGCGGCCCCCCGCACCCCGTAGGCCCAGTTTTGGGGTTTCGGGCCGGTACCGGGGTGGTCGGTCAGTCGGGGCACGGCCTGGGAGGCCGCTGACCGTCGACACTTCCTTTTCCTTGGTCGGTGGCACTCAAAAGAGTGTGGTTGCCACACTCTTCTCATTCTCCTGCGGTGGCATTGTGGGCAGCCGCGAGTGTGGGCAGCTGCGTTGCCTGGGGGTGAGAAGAGTTTCGGCAGGTGTGTCGGAGCAGGGAGACATGGGCAGGGTGGGGGAGACGGGGCGGCAGCTTGGAGCGTGGCGACAGCTGAGGTGAGGTGGAGGAGTCCACTCACCTGGTTCTCATGTGAAGGGTCTTCAACAATACATAACCGGCATTCTTCCTCAGCAAGTTTCATGCGTTGCGGCATTCAAGGGAGGCTGCCGCTTTCTGCCTCCTCCAATCAGTGTGTGTGTGAGAGAGAGATCGGCAGCCAGATAGGGAGAGAAAAGCTTCCACCTTCTTCTTCTTCTTCTTCTTCTTCTTCGTCTTCTTCTTCTTCTTCTTCTTCTTCTTCATTTCAAAAAATCGTTTGCCTGACCTTTGCCCTAATAATTTATTTCTTCTTCTTCCCAAAAAGAGTTCTATGAACCTAAGTTTCTCTGCAGATTTGGGCTGTACTCAGCAAGCGCAGCAGAGCCCCGTAATCAGATTTGAAAAAAAAACAGCGGATGGACCGCCGACCGGTCGGCCCTACCGGTCGGCTGCAATACGGTCGGCAGTCGGCATCAGCGGTCAGCTGGGGTGCAACCCTGGTTGATGGACTGTTGACTGTTTTGTTTCGATAGAGGGGTATCTGGTTTTTCATGAGCGATTCGGAAAGGCCTGTAACCAAGTAACAGACTAAGAGACGCCCAGTTGTGCATCCTGGTTGCGCACACCAGAAAAGAAGAGATGCAACGGCCAGGCCAGAAAATATGGGCCACTTCTCTCCCAGCCACTCCCCCTAGCAACTTTGCATGTCTCCTACCACCATGTCCAGCAAGAATTGGCAGACATCCGTGCCCGCAGGGCCTTGGAACAACAACAGCAGCAGGATCTAGGTATAATCACCTGCATCTATCAAGTTGCTGATCAACTTACTTCTTCAGCTACAAGACTTGGTTAAGGATGTAGAAGAGGAGGATAGATTGTTGAAGATCAAGTCTGAGGCATTGGAGAATGACGTGCGGCAGAGGTTAGTGTGACTTCTCCGACCACAATCTTCTACTTGGCCTTTCTACTTCCTCTTCAACATACTCCATCTCTGTCTGTTGTTATGAACCTGGTTGCTTGTTGTCAGAGGACCAACACTTGCTCACATAGACTTCCAGGTATGTCCATAGATTCACAGAAGGAAGGGGAGAGGATGTGAGTATCACACAGCACAGGGAGAGAGAAACACAATGGAAGACTTAACCATGCGATATGACAAAGTACACTGAAAGTGCAATTCGCTCCACGGAATCCTCACAACCAGTCACAAAGGAAAGCCGAGTAGATCACATCCAGAAAACAATGAAGCAAAGATAGTCCACACACAGTAGTAATACTGTTTATAGTCCACACACAGTAGTAATACTGTTTATTAAGCTCAGAACATCGTTTTGTCAGAATTGCCCCAGAGCCATGGTGTGCTGCTCAGAAATCAGTAGCCCCCCAACCCTGAACAACCGCTATCACTCCCCCTGAGTCCCTGAAACAACAAGCGCCACCCAGATACTGCCTCCAGAGGGAAGCGCCACCATGAAACCGGCCTCTGAGGCCAAGCGCCTCTCAGAGGATGAAGAAGAAGACCAGCGCCACAGGCTCTGATGATGATGAAGTGCCAGAAGGCCTCTCTGATGAAGATCTTCAGCAGCGCCACCTCTCCTGACAAAGATTACCTCTGAGGATACAAGCTGCAGCTATGGCTGCAGCGCCGCTACCCTGAAACCCTACTCCTGAGGAGGGTTCCGCAGGGCACCAACTTCTCCTGCTCCCAGCAGACCTCAGATAGGCCAGACCTCTGGACAGTCCCGCGTGCTGTCAGAGAACAGCGAAGGTCCCAGCTATGGCCGACGCTTCGAGGGTCTGGCTATGTCGGTCTCCTTCAACGCTGAAGCTGTACCACTCCAATTCACGCGTTGCATCCCGCGATGTGCACGGTACCAACTGCCAAAAGCCCCTCAACAGACCACCCAATTCTATTCATAGTCTACCCTAGCCTAGACAAGACCTAGACCGGACTGACTGGACTGACCGGTACCATTTCGGTTTTGGCCTCTAGGGCCTCTCCCTACCCGGCTATAGGCTATAGGACCAGTCTAACAGCATAGGCCCGTAGGCTCGTCTGTCCTAGTGCTAGCCCGGGTCTGCTCTTCGCAGTTAGGGTAGCTGTAGGAAATTCAAGTTAGTGCGGGCCTGAAATTTTCCCGAATTTACAGATATGTCCCTCATGAATTTTCCCCACAGGCAGATATCTCGGTTAGCCCTCAGCCAAACAAATTTGTGAATCTAACCTACCTATGTTACAGCCTCGGTGCGACGAGCAGCAGGCCGCAGAATCAGCAAGTCATTGCACTGTTCTGCTTCCCCTACCTATTCAACGATTGTGTCTCAGACTCTTGCATTCAGGCCGGCACATCAAGAGGAGGCGAATCAAGCTCTACCCACCACCCAAGCTCTCTGGGGCAAGGAGTCAGTGGGCGCCTGTTACTTAGCGGATGGCCATCAGGAGGGAGGCTATGGTGTAGTTGGATGGAGAAGTGCTGGTCCATCGGGGGCAACGAAGTCAGTGGGTACCTGCTGCTTAGCCGATGGCCGTCACAAAGGATGTTGTGGTGTAGCAGGAGAGAGGACAGAAAGACTTGGGCACGGTTCTTTGAGGCGGTTTCTCGGTTGTCGGCTCTTGGTGTGATGGTGAAGCATGTACGCTATGAAACAGTCACACTAAGTTGTGAAATGCGTCGAGGAGAAAGGCGGAGTAGGGTTACTCTCTTTTGCTATCATACTCGGTGCGCATGATACAAATTGTTTGAGTCGACTGGCTGCTGTGAGGAGTTTGAGTTGTTTGGACAGCTACTTGTTTGGGTGTGCTCGACTTGCTGGACGATCTCAAGGTATGTGGTTCATAACATTGTTGTCATGTGAAATTGTTATCAGGCACAAATCTCAATGTGCAATTTTCCTTCTTTTCCTTGAGGAAATTGCCCATAATCAAAAACATATTTGCAGACACCTCTTGAGGCGCCTGGAAAATGCTACCACCCGCAGCCCAGCAGGGCACTGACATTTGGCGCCTGGAAAACTACTTTTTGGCACTATTGGGGATAGTGTGACTCGCACTTAACCCATCCCAAATTTTGTGATTTAAACTGATTTTGCCATTTTGGGGGTTTTGGTACCAGAACTTCTTTTCCAATGTTTCGAGATTCCACATCAAGTTTCTTTTCTTGTCTTTTCATTAAAAAAAAGACGCCATTTTCTTAGATTCCTGATCCAGTTTCATTTCTCAACAAAAAATAAAAATCTGAAACACATCTAGTGGGTTGCACCCTCTCTCGGAACACATCATAGATTACAATGTCCTGGGTGCCATGGTATGGATACCCTCTTTTCTTTTTTTTGTTGTTGTTGTGTGGTGTGTGTGTGTGTGTGTGTGATCCCAGCAGGGGCCAGGTCCCACTGACGTCGATTCTTCATTTTTGGCAAGAGATTGTTTTCACGGGAGAATCGGAGCTTCTGCAGCACAGAAACCTACTAAGGGCCTCGCTCCACTACTCTCGACATCCGCAAAAGACAACAAAAATCATGACGGTGTATCTTTCCATGTTCTAGCGGAAGATTCATTCTTATTTTGCACATTTCAAGAGTAGTGGAGCGAGACCCTAAAGAACGTGTAACCGCTGTAGCCCAGCTGCAACTGGGGGCACCTTTTCTCCCAAGGCCATATCTTGCAATATCTTCATGCCACAGAAACCTAAATGATTCAGAAATGTGACTGTCAGCAAACATGTCATGAGTTCGAATCCTGACGATGGAGTCGGATAAATATAATAATGTTCTAGAACAATCGCATGAACAAAATGAAATACTAGAGGCTAGCCCCTTAAAAGAGAAAAAAAAAGGCGAAGAACACTAGGGAGTCAAGTATAGGGACTCCAGGGGCCAGATCCCACTAGGCAAAGAGGACTTGATGGAAGACCCAAACCTGGACGTGTTTGTGGAGAGGTGCAGAAAATCTGGATTGAACTCCTTTTTCTGCATCTCTCTCCAGAACACATTCAGATTTCAGGTGCTTAATCCACTCCTCTTTGCTAGTGGGACCTTGCGCCGGGAATGCGACTGTGGAAACGACCACATCTGTATGTAGTATGTACTATATGTATCCTTCTGTTTTTCTGTCTTTATGTTTTCTGTCTTTTTTTTCTTCTCACCAGGCCAAAATTTGCCACCGACGCAATAAATACCCCGTTCAGGGCACATAAACACCACCTCCTTGGCCATGATGCTGTGTGCTTGCGTCCTTGAACCTGCTCCCCAACACAACCAACCAATCAATCAATCAAGCGATGGAAATGCAAACTGTGTGCTTGTGTCCCCATCATCAACTTTGTTTTAACAGTCAGCATTGACGACAATTGGCACAGTTGAGTTGAACAACAGAATGAAGTGTGCTTTCCAATTTATTTTTTGATCCTTAAAAAAATGGTGACTTAGAACTTGGACCAGATACAATGGCATGATTTTTATCAAAGCACAGAGGCAGGAACAGGAAGATGAAGAAGAAGGGCCTCCCTCCACCACTCTTGATTTTGAGGAACTATCCCTTTATTTTGCAGCCTGACATTCATTTGTGAACAGGTATTATAAGGGCATACTTACAATAGGACTATTGAGACTGAACTTTAACCGTAACTGTGGTCGGATACATCCACGATAGTCCAAGAGTGAGTATACCCTGAAAGAATCATCCCAACGAGTTGAAACCCTAGACCGATCAGATCCACTATTATCTCATACCAAGGCTTTCCTGGATCCACTATTATCTCACACAGAAGGCATTTGCGCGAGAAGCCGTCTCCTATAGCAGGCTCAACCTACAACTTTGGTGTATGCTTACTGCAAGAGCCTCCTCACACCGGGATTTTTATAATGTATCTGACTTCAATCATGGCCTGATTCAGTCAGGAAAGTCCCAAAGTGAATATGCCCTCACTCCCTTTTTCAGCACCGACAGTCTTTTGCAGGACTGCTTACCTCTCTGAAACACGTGTCAGTCAACAGACATAGAAAGGGTGGTGCAGGGCCAGTGTAAAAACAATGCCCACCCTCTCTCTCTCTCTCTCTCTCTCTCTCTCTCTCTCTCTCTCTCTCTCTCTCTCTCTCTCTCTCTCTCTCTCTCTCTCTCTCTGTGGCCTGTAGCCTTTCACTGACCCTAAACTGCAACCTCCTCCTTGTTAACTGAAGAAGTGGGGCCCATCCAAGAAACCAGTGGTTTAAACCGCCAGTACAAGGGGCCCAGCCTTGCAGAAAAATGAGCGTCGCCTACTCCCGAAATTCTGCAGCTCAGGCCTACCTGCCCACAGTGGCTGGTGGCATCAACCAAAAAAAAAAAAAGAAGTGTTCCGCTGGCAGCTCACAAAAGCTTGGCGCGCAATGCAGCACCTCCAGGCCCGAGGTACTGTGTGGTTTGAACCACCAGTCTAGGTTCGTCCTTATAGAAACTGACTTCCCGCCCTACTTCACCCTTCTTCCTTATCACGAACTAATCATAGTCCTGTGGCCTGCGATCCCGCCGTGGTGGCTGTATATTCGCAGCCCTAAGGCTGCGGTATAGTGGGCTTCGGTGTCTGCGTCAAGGTGTCGCATTTTTGGCGGCGGGCGACCAGGACGCGAAGTGGGGTTTTAGGGGGCAAAAGTTTGGGGGGGACCGGTCCTTGGCAAAATTGGGGACTACCTACAGGCAGCTCTGGAATGACCGGGACTTTTGGAAAAAGCAAGGACCGGTCCTCGGGTGGATGTGGACCCCAAAAAGAAGTGGGGGTGGGGTAAGGGCCCTCAGGCCCAGGCGTTGAGGCCCGTCTTCTCAAAACAGGGAGGTCAGGCGCAACGAAACAGGCGTTTTGCAAGAGGCACCTTTGGAGGTTTTCTGTGCTCGGAGGAACATGCAGAAAAATCTGAAAATTTGAGAATCCATATATGAGGTCGTGTTCTTTCTAGGAAAACTATTAGAACATTTTAAAAAAATCATTTAGACTGAGAAATACCGATTGGGCACATTTTCCATTTTTGCCACTCAGCCATGTGTGGGCCAACTTAACAAGTACTCCAAATTCAGTGAGTTTTCACTCTCAGAAGAATGCGTGAAAAAACCTGAAAATTGGAGTACTGGTAGATTTTGTTGTGATCTTTCCAGGAAAAACGCTA